TATATTTAAATAAAAGAAATTTTCACTCTCTGAATTTCTTTTGTGGCCATTATTACTATTTGTTTTACTTCATGATTATTACTGAAAATAATTCTGTCATATTGAGGAAGGGCCCTGACCTGGATAGCCCCAGCCCAGCCTGATCTCGTCAGAACTCAGAAGCTAAGCAGGTCCAACGTGGAGGCAGGCAATGGCAAACCATCTCCGAATGTCTCTTGCCTTGAAAACCCTATGGGGTCATCATATGTCAGCTGTGACTTGATGGCAAAAAAAAATAAAAATAGAGGGGAGTGTTAAAAAGTATCTGCCCTGGGCACCAAATAGGCTAGGTACGCCACTGCACGTAATGCACATACATACATTTTTATACAAATGTAACTAGTAGAAACAAAGAGAATTGCTTAGCTCTTTCCATTTATACACCTGTCTTTAGTTCCTTATAATGTGCAAATAAGACTGTAATTCTAAGTATCTAAAGTATATCCAATTTTTTTTTAAAAAAATGGAGTATTACTATAAATAGTTCTATTACTATAGAGTACAAGAACATTTGTAATGTGCACAGATTGCAAAGAAGTTATTTGAAGATTGACAAAAAGATGCCTAAGATTTCATTACAATACTAAATTGTTAGCCCATAATTTTATCGAAGGACTTTTTGGGTTAACAGATTCCCTTGTGGCACAATAATGAATCAATCACTCAGTCACTGTAAGAAACCATTTTTCCAGCACACAAATTGCCATATTTCGTTCTTGGAAACAAGCAATTATTCCTCTAGCTACTGCAGTATGGAATGTTGACAGAGAGCTAGGAAGGTAGAGAACTAGATATGAAGGGTCAAATCACATTCAGAGCCATATTGGCTACCACCTACAGGTCACAGATTATATGAAGAATATTTCCCCCTTTTTTAACATTTTATACTACACATTCACAGTCTCCGAAGACTGACTATTCCATGTGCCATACCACTTAAGCAGGGCATTTTTCACTGCCTTTTAAATGCTGTCTTAAAATGATGAATGCCAGCAAAGCTATTTTCCTTGCAATAATACATTATCAGTTACTGAACATTTAACAATGGTTTTCATTTTTTCCCATTTAGTCCTTTCAAGGTTTTGTGGACATCAGTGAATAGACATTCCCTTCCCTCCTCTACTGTAAAGAAAGTTTATCTGTCAATCATGGAATGTGAATAAGGGATGTGGTATCACTGCATCTGAACTGGGAACAATGCATCTGGAGGGGCCCATCTATTGCCCATTGTCTTATGGTAGTCCAATTGCTCACTTGGTGCCCATAATCAATTTTTCAGATTTCCAATGCTAACATACTGATCCTCTTTATCCTGACTTATATATAAATGTATTTTCGCATGGCAACATTCTATGCTTGCCAAAATCAGTTGGCTGCCTGAACTGCCCATCAGAAGGTGTGCCTGAGTCCCACCCACAGAGCCAGCTCCTGCCAAATCTCCAATCCGAACAGGTTACCTCAGCAGCCAAGCAGCCATTTGCCTGAAGATCAGTGGAGGAGCAGCTGCAGCTGTTTGCCTGCCAACTATTCTTCAGCCATCAGGAGAGCCTTGCAGCAGGTAGGGCCCATCTCCACCCCAGCTGGATTCTGAGGCAAGCTGGTGGAGCCTGTCTGGGGGGGGAGGCCCATGGCCGGCCGGCCTGCCTGGGCTGGCAGGGCCTGTCTGGGGGGGAGGCCTCTGGCCAGCCTACCTGGGCCGGTGTTTGGGGGGGAGGCCCACGGCCAGCCTACCTGGGCCGACAGGGCCCGTCTGGGGCCGGTGTGAG